TTTTTAAAGACAACTTYACAACAGTCGAGTCACTATGATTATGACATCACTATTGCTAATTCTTTGTGACGTCATTTAATTATCTAATCTAAATTTGAAATGACGTAATATAATTAAAAAATAATGAACGAATAAACAATAATWAATTCATTCTAAAAATTATTATCGTTTTAAGAATGTAATTAAAATCATAATATATCAATTATTGGGAAGGATTTAAAATATTGATAATATCTGCGTCACGCAAGAATTAGTCAGTAACGCGTAACGCTCGTTCCAAAGCGATTAAATATTACGCAATCATTTTTAATCTTGATTTTTTGTTAAACATTTGTTCATATTGAATCTAAATATGCCCGGTTACACTGGCAATTTTTTCAGCGATTTTTGCTGCGATTTTATTCGCAAATTTTTCGAGAATATAATACATTTTGTCTCATTCTTCTAAAAAAACATTTGTCCAATGTTGGTTTGCTGAATAGAATTCTACAAACAATATTCTTTACCATTCTTTACTATGACCAAAATCGCCACAATAATCACAGCAAAAATCGCCAGAAAAATCGCTAGCGTAACCGGGCTTATGGTGACTCGACCGAAATATTTTTGCATTAGTACCTACTAACTTTCAATCTCCAATACCTTAAGAGATTGATTGCAAGGGCGCATTTACACAGGGCAATTTGTTGCGAGACAAGTTGTAGAGGGAATTGCCCCTTGTAATCACGCCCTTACCATACTTCGGGAAGATTTCGGAGGGCAGCCAAGCGCGGCCTATTCATGCATGTTGCAAAGGAGTTCGATGTTGTGCTAAAAATGAAACAAAAGAAATCCCAAAGCACCGAATCGTCGAAAACTATGACATCGTCTCAATATTTACTTAATTTTTTCATTTATTTTAGGCAGCCTTCCCTTAGGCAGGGAAAGTGTGGTGCATTGATCTGTTGTAGTTCTGAAAAAAAATCCAAGAAAAAAAATCGACGAGTTTTGGCATGATCGTGCTTTTCTTGAAAGTGTCTGTAAAACCGCGAGAAAAGTAAGCATTGCGTTTTTGTCTTGAATCATATATTTTCCGTTTTGGCGAGATCGCGTTACTATATTTCCTTCTATTTTTTCAAGAAAGTATTAGGGACATACGGTGTTTTTTTTTTGTAAATAGTAACCCCAGAAGTAGCAATATTGGCTACGGGAAATCCATTGTTTAGTTTTCACATACATTATACTTTTAATTTAGATATCCCCAATTATCTCCAAATTCGTCTTATAGATTTTAATAAAATTGCGCCCAACGGGACAACAAACACTCAAGGTTTAGGCAGCATAAAGCATTTCGCTAGTAAATGCGGTTGAGGGCTAAACTTCGACTCAGAGATAAAACAGGTGTGACGTCATTACCACGTGATATGTGATCCGACATCCTCGAAAAATATATTAAATTGCACTTTAGTCTATATGTAACATATGCGTCCTAGTCAATATGAAATCGAAATCAATCCTAGGTATGGGAGGTTCAGAATTGGTACAGGTGCTCATGAAAAAATATTGAGTCGAGCCACCTTAAGGACGAATTTGTAGCTCAGTGGTTATAGCACTGGGCTAGTTAACCAGGGGTCGAGAGTTCGAGACTCTCCAAAGGCATGCTTACCAATTACACACGAAAATATCACAGATATCAGTAGAACCAACATTTTTCACCAGGAGTTCTTTTCTTTTCTTTTAGTTGGCTTTTCCTTCTTTCTTTCCCAAATATATAGTTCAACCGATTACAGTTTAGTCAAAAGCTGTGTCCGATCCCAGTGCGAGGTTTTTTCCTTTCTCATTTTATATCTATTCTTGAAACTTCATCGCCACCGCCATTGGATTGAGCCGCCCGGTGCGTATACGAAGAAATAGCAGGCACGTCCTGTAAACAACTCATTGCTAAGTGCATGCGTGATCGGGTTATCTAAGTTTTCAGATACGAAAGGACGTTAATTATTGTAATGATCAGCAGCTTGTTCTTTTGATGACAAATGCGATGGTAAAATAAAATTGAAAAGCTACATTTTTAATTTCTAACCAACATTTGTCTACACGCGTCACGAACATCTGTGAACCTGACCAAATAAATGACGGGATTGATGCTTGAACTAAAGGCCAGTAAAAGAAGCGATACTTGATGAAACACAATGTTATCTTTATTATATCCAACCAAAGCCACTGTTAGCATTGAACATATGATGGGAACGAAGCACAGAAGAAGACATGCTAAGATCACAAGCATCGTCTTTAAGGTTTTNGTAATTAAAATCATAATATATCAATTACTGGGAAGGATTTAAAGTATTGATAATATCTACGTCACGCAAGAATTAGTCAGTAACGCGTAACGCTCATTCCAAAGCGACTAATATTACGCAATCATTTTCAATATTGATTTTTTGTTAAACATCCGTTCATATTTAATCTAAAGGCCCGTTTACACAGGCGATTTTTTCGACAATTTTTGCTGCGATTTTTGAAGCAAATGTTTCGAAAATATAATAAATTTTGTCTCATCCTTCAACATAGCCTGCCTTGCAGACGTTTTTTAGGAGGGGAAGGAACGAGCCGACTCTAAAAACGTCTGCACGGCAGGATACCTTCAACAGGGCGCTAATTTGGAATGCATTTAAACCGCTAAACCGTATTACATGGCCACATACAATGTGCCATTAACTTACATTTTTCTTCACCAAAACACAACAAAGTTAAGCAACGTTCCCCAATTTTCAAATAGTTTCTCGGCCAATGAGCGCGCGAGATTCCCAATAATCACCTGTGTATTTTTAAACACACGATAATCACTTCCAGCAATTAATAATCCAAAATGGCGGCCAGCCTCATTGTTGCTGTTACCGGAAAAAAATGTCTTATATCTTCTTTTATTTTTTATTTATTTTCAAAGAATCACCTGTGTATTGACACGAACTCGCGTCTCGGTAAATATTCCCCGATATTCACTTCGCCTTTGGCGAATAATTGTTAAACAGTTTTCGACCAATTAGCGCGCGCGTACTATCCTAATAAATTTTAACTTAATATAACATCAAAAAAGCTATAGATTTATGCAGTAATTTTGCTTTTTGCTCTCATATCTCCATTCACCAAAATAATGAAAAAAGATTTCGAAACGGATGGAAAAGCTCACACTTTTCCAAGGGAATACTGGGGCGAGTTTTATAAAAATTGCACTCAGCCGCATTAAGGCATGGTTCTCAGATGAAAAACTGATTAGCTATATCATAGCCAGTTTTCTACGAATCTTCCCCAAACTTGGCAAGTTAATGTCTTTTGTGAAAAGAAGGAACCTTGGAGCCTTGGTTACCATGGAAACTAAGTCACGTGACCACAAGGCCGCCATCTTGGATTTTTAAACAAGCCGTTTGTAAACGTTGCCTCAGAATAGAATATCTATTTATTCATTTATTTTTCATTAGTATTGAAATAATATAATTACAAAGTTCTATAAGAATTTATAGCAGTCGACTTAGAGTACTTAAACGATTCCCTTTTATGCACCCAATTGCACAAGGAGAATTCGAATTGGGTTCGAAATATAGAACACATAGAAGCTAAGACCGAAAAGTATTCTTGGCGGAAATGACATATAAACAACGATACGATGAAACGTGTTGATTTAAATGAATGTTCCACGAATTGTATCACTAGTTGTATCACTTTCCATGTATCATTTTGGCAAAATTACTAACATGTTATAACATGCTAATTCCTAAAAAGCTATAAATAACGACTATTGGATACGATTTTTATCGTTTTTCTACTGATGACCAAAATCGTTGGACAATCAAATAGCAGTCTTTTCCATTTTTTCTTACCGTGTTTCCTCTATTAAGCCTCTAAAAATTAAATAACCGCGCCGCTTCTAATTATAATATGCCCCACCCATGAGGGCGGCATTTTTCTTTGTTAAAAAGCGTTTGGTTTTAGTGCAGAAATATGAGTGCGATGAGATTACGAGTAAAAGTCGATCGTTATAGCATACATTATTGTATTTTGTGAAACTTTCGGATATAATTTTTTTCTTCTGTAGTTCAAAAATAATTATGAATTTCCAAAGTCAGAGAAATTTATTAAGCCCCCAGTCTCTAATAAGCCCCCCTTTCTAATAAACCCAGCCCCAAAGCACTGAAAAACTAAGCCCCAGGGTGCTTGATAGAGGAAATACGGTATTCAAATTCCGAAGAGAAAAAGATCGAAGGTAAGTATAGATATTTAGGTACCATGTTTTTTCGTCGGGTTAATTAGGGAAGATTTCTTTTTCGTTTAAGTGCCAATATTCTTTTCTAATAATTGCGGTTTTCAAAAACTTTGTCTTGGATAACTATATATATGTTCTGTATACAACTGGAACACCACAATCACCAAAACAGCGAACTAACGGCCATTCCATCCTGTTTGCGAAACAAATGTCGTCGCTAGGATACAGAGTCACCTTCGGCATTTGCAGCGAAAAGAAAACCGCATTGAGATACTCTTCATAGGCCAGCGCTGATTCGTAGTTCTCACCGCATTTCCCTGAGCATACTTTTTCTGTAGATGGAAGGCTGGTATTCCCCAAAACGGTTCTCGCCATTTCAAGTGTGTTAAAGCTGAATCGGTAGCACCATTTCTTGTGTTTGACTTTGGATAAAACGCCTTTGCAGTAGTAATGCCTGAGTGCGCGGCTCATGGTCTGGTACGTCATTTTTCGCCTACCACTTCTTCTTCCCCAGAGCTTAGCTACTTGTTCTGGGTTATTCATACGAAACTCACCATATTCGCCTTCCCAGGCAATGATTTTAGAGTTGGTGTCATCCGATAAGAGTTCTAACAGAAACTGCCATAGCTGAACTTTCGAAAACATACCTTTAAAAAAGCATTGATTTCTTCCATAAGTAATGACTTTTTGTTCAATAAACATTGCTGTTATTAATAATAATTATCGTAAAGCTCTTTTAGGCACTTCAATTGTCATAGCTATAGTTTTCTAAGTTCTACTACGTATTAGAGAAACAAGCAGTCTATCTATGTTTTGTGAGCGTGAGATAAATTTCTTTAGCTACAATCCAACTGTCCGATTAGCTCCTTCTAACCCATGTAAAATTTTAGATATTTGCCAAACAAAGTACAACAGTCGCTAATGTTGTAATTGCGGGTAATACATTGATAATTAGGTTTTGTTAAACGGATGACGCTACTTACAACTATGCTTTAAAGTTTCGTCCCTTGTGGTGTGGCGAAGTGAAGTTTCTTTGAATGCCATCTTCTAGTAATACAATTTTTAAGGAAAGTTATTTTCACTTGAGAATTCACTCTTTATATACCAAAACCTTTTAGGATATTTAGAGTAATTACTATGGCAACCACGGATAAACAATTAAAGCTTCCAAATTAAGCAAGACAATTTAACCAATTACAATCTCAAAGAAAATTTTGCTATGGCAACGAGATAAACTTACGAGAAAAACAGGGTAGTGTTTCGTTGTTGCTAAGGTTACGGGAAAATACCTGAAATATATTTAGATCACTTGTCATAAACAAACAACCTTCTGTTTCATTAAAAACAATTAAAGCCGCCGTTTCTAGGGATCTCGTTTTTTCAACAACAACAACAACTTTATTTGCAAGTGTAAAATTACATCAATAAATATAAATCTTAGAAAAGAGAAATTACATAAACATCCATATAATGATAACTAAATATTCATGTAAATATTTGAAAAGAGATAAAAACTGAAAAATGGCAGGAGCAGAGCTATCTAAAGAGTCGAGTCGGGTTTTTCTTCCTGTGTTGGCCGCGATGGGAGTGGGGACGAGTTTGAAGCGGCCGCGTGACCGACATTAGAGAAAAAGTTTGCGCATGCGTGCATTTTAGCACGTTTTCTAAAAATTCAATCTCGTACCCAGAGCCCTTATTTCTTACTGCGCATGCTCGACGAAATAATTGGGCTCTGGAAAACTCCAAACCGGAAGACCCAGATTCTGGGTTTCTCGCACATGCGCATTATGACAGACTAGGTAAATTCAAAATGGCGGACGATGTTCAACGAGCATGTGCATTTGCGCTTGGAAAATTAGGTTTTGGAGATGGTTTTCAGTTAAATTAGCTCCTAAAATATCTATTGGATGGACATCAATACAATTTCCATTACAAAATCGGCAAAACTTGGAAAAATCCGGCCCTACAGGCTTTTTTGGTGTACTTAATTCGAGACGCCATCTTGTTTATTTTCCCAAGTACTGTATTTTTACTTCCGGTATCTTCCTTTGTTCTCGAGAACCAATCACAGCACAGGAAATATTGGAGTTTTCCAGAGCCCAATTATTTCGTCGAGCATGCGCAGTAAGAAATAAGGGCTCTGGGTACGAGATTGCTAAAAATTTTGAAGAGTTTGAGCGAGAAAATAAATGTTTCTTTCCTCCAAGCATATTAAAAAGTTCGAGCGTATACTTTTGTCAGACCACGATACTGTATTGAGAAACACAATATGAAAGAATTAGCCTAAGTTTCAAGCATGGACATTAAGTTTTGGCATTTTGTGAATTCTATTTTATCAGGCATGTTTGAAAGCCAAATTTACATATATTTTGACTAATTTGCATACAGATTCAGAGCATGCCCAGACGTTTTTCACTCGTGTTCGCGTGACCAAGTTAGGGAAAAAACTTGATACGACCTCCGCGGTTAGGAGAGAAAAGAGGTTCTGTTACAGTGCGGCTACTATAAAACCGGGGCCACCTAGA